CACTAGTCTGGTAATTTACAGTGAATTAACTTGGATTACACTCCTGAGAAAGGAACTGTCACGACTCAAACTGTGTGGTCATGACTGGAATTATTAAATCTAGGACTTCCAAGTTATTTTCTCACGGTATGTAAATCCACTACTGACATACCCTTTTAATGCAACATTTTGCCTTAATTGTTTTCTTGCATCTAGTTTTCAAATGTAATTAAAAGCATTAGAGACTTTTTTCTTTACAAATCCTCATAGTTACACTCACCTCTGGCAGCTTCATCAGAGACAATTTTACCCTTAATGTTACAATTTTGTAGTATTTCCAATTTCAGTGTTGACAACAAAGAAAGTGTCATTCTCCTCCTGTGTACAAGATGACCACCAGGTAATAAGCAATCTGTAGGCTCATGAAATGAAAAAGCACTACCCTTCCAGAAAGCATGCAGGTTTATTTCCTTTTCCTCACCTCCTACCACTGACAATCAGCCAAACCATTTTAAAGGACCCAGCAACTCTCCCTCAACCAAGTAACTTGATCACCTGCATTTTACTACACCAGAATAAAGCATTTGCTCTCAACACCTTCTCCTAGTTCGTGCTCCTTCCTTTAGCAAGTCTGCCACTTTATTTTTTTTCAGCTCCATGTAATCAAGACAATAGGAAAGCAGCACTTGGATTATGCTTGTCACAGTAACCAATAGACCACAATATGTAAAGGCTACTGCAAACTAGTTTGGTTGGACCCTGTGGTCAGAGGCAATACTGACCTTATCAGACCTTTTCTCCTGGGAGCTTTCAGTGAGAATATCCAGCTTTGCAAGTTGGACCCTTTTCCCCAGTAACAGGCAAACACAATGCGAGGTCTTTCCTCCAAACCAGAACAAAGAATGATGTTATTTCCTATGGCTGGCGCTGGAAGAACTACATAGCAACACCAAATCACAGCAGCCAAAACAAGAAACACTTCAGTTATTTACTAATATTTTATTTTTTAAAAATGATTACAAAATATTTTAGAAAGTCCTTTAGATCAAAAAAGCATAATACATTACAAACAAACACATGTTTAGAATGGAAAAATATTTAACCATTTCAAAATTATTTAAATGGAAACCCTTTA